GCGACTCAGCGGCTCGACGGCTCAGTAAAAAGGCTGCCTTTGTGGAGTGACACTGACTTCGATCGTTGCTTATTGGTGCAGCGGAGAGGAGAATTGAGTTGCTTGTTCGTTGCTTTGGAGTTACTTCGTTGAATTCGTCACTAGAGATGTCAGACAATGCGAGAAAACCATCTGCTCGTGAGAGGAGAGCTGCCGAGGCCAGGACAGATTTGAACACGGGAGTGTCTCAACAAGCTAGACCGTTGACGTCAGTCCCCAGAGCTGGCACTYCTGGAACCCTTGCACCWKGYCCGCGTCGTCRTGAGTTAYAGCGAAATYTTGTTGTCATCACCGATCGTCGATCTGAATCATCGCATAGGCGTCACGATGACATAAGGGGAAGGGATGATCACGCAGGAGCAACTCGTATGTGTTCGCGAGACGAGAAGGAGAAAATCAGTGTTGGCAAAGATGACTTGAACAGATCGAGGCACGCTTCAACTCCTCGATGTGATCATGTGGTGACGACTTCCACTATTCCTTCTGGTACGAAGGAGTTCTTTGGTGATGCTGCGCGGGCGACGTCGCATTTGTCCCAGATTGTCTTCCCAGGCACTGAGTTTCCCCCTCCAGGAGAGATGTCGAAGAAGAGATCTCACTCAAGCATGGCCTTCGATTGTATGACAGTACGACTTCGTGGCAACTCGAAGAAGAGATCTTACTCAAGCATGGCCTTCGATTTGATATTTCCCTATTTCTGATCTTGTAACTTGTTTTCCGTGATCTGTTCCTTGGTTTGGCAGTTTCTTTCTTCGCTTAACAAGCTCGCGATTGACTATGAGGTGACTGTGCGCTCGCTGACTCGTCAGCTTGCAAATGTTCAGAAGGGTTGTGACGATCATAAGAAGCAGAAAATGGATGCAAAGGAACGCGTTGCTACTCTCCGAGCTGCTATGAAGGAAACCGAAGATAGACGTCGCGAGATGGATGGAACGTTCACGGAGTCTGAATCCGAGAGGAAGCGTCTTCAGAAGGAAGTATGTGACCTTACCACCCGATTAGATGTTGCTGCCAAGCTTCAAGATACGG